TTTTCAAGGTATTTAGCTTCCTTGAGTTGGGTTAGAACATGCTCCTTTAGTTGGAGGAGTTTGTTATTACCCACCTTTTGAAGCCTACTTCTATAAATTCATCAAACTCATTCTCTGTCCAGTTTAGTTCCCTTGCTGGCAAGGAGTTTTGATCTTTTGGAGGAGAAGAGGTGTTCTAGTTTTTGGAATTTTCAGCCTTTTTGCACTGGTTTCTCCCCATCTTTGTGGATTTATCTACCTTTGGTCTTTGATGTTGCCGACCTTTGGATAGGGTCTCTGAGTAGACATCCTTCTTGTTGATGTAGGTACTATACATTTGTTTCTTAGTTTTCTTTCTCACCATCAGGCCTCTCTGCTTCTGGTCTACTGGAGTTTGCAAGAGGTCCACTCCAGATCGTGCTTGCCTGGGAATCACCAGCAGAGGTTGCAGAACAGCAAAGATTGCTGTCTGTTCCTTCCTCTGGAAGCTTTGTCTCAGAGGGACACCTGCCAGATGCTACAGAGCTCTCCTGTATGAGGTGTCTTTCAGCCCCTACTGGGAGGTGTCTCCCAATCAGGATACCTGGAGGTCAGGGACCCACTTGAGGAAGCAGTCTGTTCCTTATCAGAGCTTGAACACTGTGCTGAGAGATCCACTGCTCCCTTCAGAGCTGTCAGGCAGGAACATTTTAATCTGCTGAAGCTGTGCCCCTTTCTACCCTTTCCCTCCAGATGCTCTGTCTGAGGGAGCTGGGAATTTTATCTATAAGTCCCTGACTGGTGCTGCTGCCTTTTTTTCACAAATACCCTGCCCAAAGAGGAGGAGTCTAGACACAGTCTGGCCACAGAGGCATTGTTGAACTGCACAGTGTCTGGCCCAGTGGCTTTGTTTACACTGGGAGGGTAAAATCACCTACTCAAGCCTCAGCAATGGTGGATGCCCCTCCCCTGACTAAGATTGATTGGCCCTGGTCAACCTCAGACTGCTGTGCTGCTAGCAAGAATTTCAAGTCAGCAGATCTTAGCTTGCTCTGCTTTGTGGGGGAGAGACCCACCAAGCCAGACCACCTGACTCCCTGGCTTCAGCCCTCCCTTCCAGGGCAGTGAAGGGCTCTGGCATCCCATGTGCCACTGGAGTATGAAAAAGAAAAAGCTCCTGCCCTAGCTCAGTGTCAGCCCAGAGGGCTGCCCAGTTTTCTGCTTGAAACTCAGGGCCCTGGTGTTGTAGGCACCGGAGGGAATCTCCTGGTCTGCCAGTTGCAAAGAACGTGGGGAAAGTGCAGCATCTGGGCCAGAATGCACCAGTCTTCCTGGTACAGTCTCACGGCTTCCCTTGGCTAGGGGAGAGAAATCCTCCAACCCCTTGCGCTTCCAGGGTGATGCAATGCCCCACCCTTCTTCAGCTTGTCCTCCGTGGACCACACCCACTGTCCAACCAGTCCCAGTGAGATAAACCGGATACTTCAGTTGGAAATGCAGAAAACACCCACCTTCTGCTTCTATCTTTCTGGAAGCTGCAGACCAGAGCTGTTCCTATTCCTAAATGTTTATTCTTAATGTCTAGCTCATATTACAGAAATCTGCCTAGGATCACCCACATCAAAAGCACTTAGCATATGCCAAGTACTGGTCCTAGAGCTGAAGATGTAGCTGGAAATAAAATGCAGTCCCTGATCTTAGAGGACTTACTGTCTAGTATGGTGAGAATATGAGGAAAACAGTTTAGTCTATTAAATATTAAGACAGAATTAAATTTGCTTATGCCACACATTCACTGTAAGTACTAGGACCTGTCAAATATGGATTTCTAAAAAATAAAATAAGAAGAAAAAGCCAGTCTATTTTTTGGTCTATAAAGCCTGTTGTAGGATAGGGATTTGTATCGTATGCTTCATTTGGTTGCTGACAATATGTGAGATACCAAAATCAATAAGTTAAACTGTTAGTGGAAATGTAAATTAGTTCAGCCATTATGGAAAACAGTACGGAGGTTCCTCAAAAACCTAAAAATAGGACTACCATATGATCCAACAATCCCACTACTGGGTAGCTATCCAAAGGAAAGGAAGTCAGTATGTTGAAGATTTCTCTGCCCTCCCATGTTTATTGCAGCACTCCAGAGGAGGCAAGATACTGAATCAACTTAAATGTCGATCAGAGGGTGAATGGATAAAGAAAAGGTGGTGTATATATACACCACCATACACACACACGCACACGCACACACACACATGCACGCACACGCACACGCACACACACGTACAAGCACACACACGCACACGCACACATGCACACGCACACGCACACACACACATGCACACACACACACACAGAATGTTATTCGGCCTTAAAATAAAAAGGAAATTCTGTCATTTGCAACCACGTGGATGAACCTGAAGGACAATATGTCAAGTGAAATAACCCAGGCACAAGAAGATAAATACCACATTTTTACTCATATGTGAATGCTAAAAAAAGTTGCTCTCATAGAAGTAGAGCAATTACAAGTTCCTCTAGCAGAAGTCATCACTAGAGCCAAGGAAGGGAGAGAGAGGGGAACAGCCAAAGGCTGGCTAAGGGAGACAAAAGTACAGCTAGACAGAAGGAGTAAGTTCTAACGCTCTATTACTATAGGGGGACTATATTAACACTTTATCATATATTTTCAAATAGCTAGAAGAATGGATTTTGAATGTTCCCAACACAAAGAAATGATAAATGTTCGATATGATTGATATTCTAATTACCCCGATTTGCTCATTACACATGTATATATGTATCAAAATATCATACCGTATTCCATAAAGATGTAAAAGTGTTATGTGTCTATTAAAAATAAGAATAATAAGGCCGGGTGTGGTGGCTCACACCTCTAATCCCAACACTTTGGGAGGCCGAGGCGGGTGGATCACGAGGTCAAGAGATCGAGACCATCCTGGTCAACATGGTGAAACCCCGTCTCTACTAAAAATACAAAAAATTAGCTGGGCATGGTGGCTCGTGCCTGTAATCCCAGCTACTCAGGAGGCTGAGGCAGGAGAATTGCCTGAACCCAGGAGGCGGAGGTTGCAGTGAGCCGAGATCGCGCCATTGCACTCCAGCCTGGGTAACAAGAGAGAAACTCCGTCTCAATAAATAAATAAATAAATAAATAAAAATAAGTATAATAAAACCTAAATCAATAAATTGAGTCATGTGCTAGAGGAAAATGCCCATATATCATTAATTTCATCAGCCATTCCTTCATTGGTGTAACAGAAACTTGACAGACTCGATGTTAGGAACTTAAGTTAAGAGGGGAAGATAGATGGACATGTGGAACAATAATTAGGCTGACTTTTTGTACCTGTGACCGTGGGTGAGCGACTTAATCTTTCGGAGCCTCAGTTTCCTCAGTTACAAAGTGAGATGAAAAATAATGACACCTATCTCATGAGATTGTTTTCAATATTAAATGAGATGTTTTTATATATGGAGCACCTGGCATAGTGACTGGATCCCTGTAGATTCTTAACAAGTTTCAGCAATTTTTTTTTAATCCTGCTATTATATAAGAGAAGTTTGAGGCTCAGTGCGGTGAATAACTTACTCACCCAGGACGCTGCATACCTGGAAGATAAATTAAACACAAGCATGTGGTACGAAGTACATGAGTCTTGAGACCGGAAAGAAAGATTAATTCCGTCAGCGGAGTCTGAGACAGAATCGGGAAGGAAAACTTAAACCAATTACATGGATGGCTTTTCAAGCATTGTCCATAAACACATATTTGGAGACCAGGAGCAAAGTATTTTTTTTTTTGAGACGGAGTCTCGCTCTTGTTACCCAGGCTGGAGTGCAATGGCGCGATCTCGGCTCACCGCAACCTCCGCCTCCTGGGTTCAGGCGATTCTCCTGCCTCAACCTCCTGAGTAGCTGGGATTACAGGCTCACACCACCATGCCCAGCTAATTTTTTGTATTTTTAGTGGAGACGGGGTTTCACCATGTTGACCAGAATGGTCTCGATCTCTTGACCTCGTGATCCACCCTCCTCGGCCTCCCAAAGGGGAGCAAAGTTTTTAAAAAGTCCATCAACTGCTGATTTTCCCATAGACATCTGCAGCCCTACCGTCTGGTCTCTTCCTCACTACTATAGCTTTCTTCGTCTGTAAGACATTATGCTGGTTAATCTTTAATGACAAGGATCAACACCAGTTTCCCAATCCTGACTTTTTAATAATTTTCAGAACTAGCAGGTGAGAAGAGAGGAAAGAACCGCCTTGATATATTCTCCTAGCATCACTCCCTCTAAAGTAAAAAGAGTATATTTCTTTAAACCGTGAAACTTTACCAGCACAGCTGAAACAAAGAACTTCCCTAGAACTTGAGTGTCAAAATGACTCATTCATTACTTACTCCTCCACAAGATTTTTTATTTTATTTTATTATTTTTTGAGACAGAATCTCACTCTGTCACTCAAGCTGGAGTACAGTGGTGCAATCTCAACTCACTGCAACGTCCGCCTCCCTGGGGCAGGTTCAAGTGAATCTCCTGCCTCAGCCTCCTGAGTTGCTGGAATTACAGGCATGTGCCACCATGCCCTGCTAATTTTTTGTATTTTTAGTAGAGACAAGGTTTCACTAAGTTAGCCAGGATGGTCTCGATCCCCTGACTTCAAGATCTTCCCATCTCAGCATCCCAAAGTGCTGGGATTACAGGCGTGAGCCACGACACCTGGCATGCAAGATGTTTATTTACTTTATTACATGACCCTGTCCACAAACTGCAGGCATCTTTTCAACGGAAAAAAATCCTCAAAGTAAAACCCTGAGAAGATCATTAGAGTCCTAAGAGGGATAATTTCTTTCTTATTTTCCTTGTGTAACTAAAATACCTATGTAACTCTATTTTAAGAAATAAGGCTTCTCATAAACATTAGTTTGTGATATAAAATAATACGTAAAAATTATCTTAGTATAATTTTATTGCAGATTATCTGAATATAACCTCCATCTCGTTTTTTCTCTTCCGTTCAACAGCATGCTACAGCTTTCCATGTAACTGTCCGAGATGATAATAACATCGTTGTCTCATTAGAAGCTTCGGACGTCATCAGTCCAGCATCTGTGTATGTTGTGAAGATAACTGGTGAATCCAAAAATTATTTCTTCGAATTTGAGGAATTCAACAGCACTTTGCCTCCTCCTGTTGTTTTTAAGGCCAGTTATCATGGCCTTTATTATATAATCACTCTGGTAGTGGTAAATGGAAATGTGGTGACCAAGCCATCCAGATCAATCACTGTGTTAACAAGTAAGCATCATGTGTAATATTGTCCCGTGTTTCTTCTTAGAGTATATTCCTGTGGGGCTCTAATGGAGAGAGTCCACCCAGAATGGCAAAATCTCTTGCCTTGATGCCAAGTGACATTGATTCAAAGTTCTATGCTATATTAAGAGTACAGCATCTTGCTGAAGTTTGATGTTTACTGTTTACATTGTGTTAAACAAAAATATTTTTAAACCAAAAAACGTAAATCTCAATGAAGTAGTATATTTTGAGACTGAGTGACAATTTCAAATTCATGATTGGAAGGTGTAATTTTCTGCTATGTTACTTAATAATGTCATCATAACTTGTCTATTTTTTCCAGAGCATGTATTCTCATATTAAGCAATTCAGTTTGGGGACAATGAATGGATACTCCTATTTACCCTGCTCAAATTCAAGTGTAGGTCTTTGGTTGAGACATAGAAAAAGTTCTCTTTATTCATTCGTTGTTATTCCCCACCTCATCTTCAAAATAGCTTTGCCTTCCACTTCTCAAGAAAAACAATGCCCAGGAAAAAAATTAATAGCAATTTAACCTTCATTCGTCCATGTCATAAAGAGTTAATGCTGACGTTGGGAAATTTAGGAATAGTTTTAACTTCATGTGATATTTTTCACTTTACTAGCTGACTTTAATATCTAATCTCAAAAGAAGATGTGATTCTACCGTCTATGTTGACATATGGATGAAAAACTGATTATTTGTAAGACAGTAGAGTTTATCACCAGCACAATATAATGGCTCAGCAAAGTACTCTATGCTTATGTTCTTCAGTGCATCTTTTTCAACAGCTGCAATTTGTTAAATGCCATCTATGTGTGATTTTTCTGGTGATAACTACAGGAAAAGACAGTGATATTGTCCATTGGGATAAAAGGAAACAGAAACTCCAAGAAGCAAAAACTCAAAACCAAGCTAGAGGACATATTTTTAACACATCTGTCCAAAATTAATTCAAGTCTCCATTAGCAGAGTGCCAGGATCAGCAGTGAGCCCTAAAAATGAGGAATGGCATAGACCCAAGACCTTCAACGTTTACAGGCATAATGAACAAACGTATTAGTTGAATTAAAGGGAGAATTTGCCTGGTAAAATACTGTCTTAAACAAGCTCTAGAAAAAGATGAATTGCAAGTCAGATTTAGGCAGCAGATATAGGTGCATAATGCCTACAATACAAACTCCTTCAAATCAAAAGCTCTTATCTTCGTAATTTCATAAACACCTAGCCCATGCCTTATGCTTAATAGATGATCCATAAATATTAGTTTGATTTAGCTGAGAAGGTAATAGGAGAGATCTAGGGGGAAAAAACTAAGGCACAGAGAAAAATAAACTTAGGACTGTAGTGACAGTTGCTGATCAACATTTATGAGCATGTACTCAGCCATTCCTAACCAGCTGCAGCTGGAGGATTCAGCCCTTTGGCTGTTTCTGAAGACATGTGATAAATCAATGTCTTGGTTTATCAGGTAAATCAGGTAAATAAATCCTAAAAGATTTCTAGGATATCACTTAGCATTTGCAGTGAGTTCCATTCAAAATATATTATATGTTCTTTTGTGATGTTTTTCTTTGAACTGTAGGGCTTACAAGTGTGTTCAGTGTCAAAAAAATGGAAATTTTGCAAATACCTTTTTTTATTGATTTCTAGAGGAGGTACTGTTGTGATCAGAGAACATATTTTATATGATTTCATTTACTTGAAAGTTGTTGATATTTGTTTTACGGACCCAAATATGGTCGTTCTTGCTGTGTATTCTGTGAGCACTTCGTGGGTGAAATTTCAATAAGTATAAATCAGGGCAAGTTGGTTGTTCAAGTCTTCTGTATCCTTACTGACGTTCTGTTTCCTTGTTCTAATAATGACTGGTAAAGGAATCTGAAAGTCTCCACCTGTCACCGTAAAGGTGTCTATTTCTCCTTTCACTTCTTTTGGTTTATGCTTTACATGTTTTGAAGCTCTGTTGTTATTAGGTGCAAAAACTTTTAGGATTGCTCTGTCTTCTGGATAAACTGAACCATCTGACTACATGCAATGTCCCTCTATATTCCAAGCAATATGCCTTGTGTTCACGTCCCTTCTGTCTGATATTAAAATAGCCATTTTAGTTTTTTTAAGTGTCTGTGTGGCATACTTAATCCATCCTTTTGCCTTCAGCCACTTACGTTTTTACATGTGAAAGGGTTTCTTACAGACAGCACAGAGTTGCGTCTTGCTTTCTCTTTCCAATCTAAAAATCTCTGTCTTTTAACTGAAGTATTTAGGACAGTTCTATCTAATAAAAAGAGAATGTTAACCTCATATGTGATACTAGATTTTCTGGTAGATATGTTAAAATGCTTTTTGAAAAGGTGAAATTAATTTTAATAACATGGTTTACTTAATCCACTACATTCAAAATTTTATTTCATAATATAATCAATATACAAATTTATACATTTTTTACTTTCAAACATAAATTTAAGTACAAATAAAGCTGCACTAGCCTAATTTTAATTGCTCAATAGCAACACATAGCTAGTTGATACCAATTTAAATAGTGCAGGTTTAGACAATATACCTGTAATTATTAATATTATAATATAATACAATTACTTCTATGGTTGAATTTGAATTTACCATATTGCTAGGCTGTTAGGTAGAATGGGGAGTGAGTCAGTCTACTCAATAGTTGAGCTGGGTTGAAGGTACTAGACACCTTCCACTCATCATAGATTTCTAATTCTTCCCATGGTAGGCGGCCAGGAGTGGTAGAGGGTATTTCTCAATGTCCAGTTCCACCCTCAGTAAGCAGCAAGCCCTGAACACCTGTACCACAGAAGAGCTCCCCAGCAATAGACTGCTGTTGTTTTTCTCTCATTGCTAAGTTTTTGGTGGGGACAGAGGATGTTCTTGGTTCTCATGGTCCAGCCTCAGACTTAGGCAGACCCTGTGATGCTAGATGGGACATTCTTGACATTTTTACCCCTCAAATTACACTGACACCAAAATTCTACTTTAAAATCTGTGGGTCAGAGAGTTTCCTGTCTCTTCTCCAGTGGTATCAGAACCACTGATACTCTGCTTTGTATCAGTGTAGGGCTCTGGGCGCAAAAGAGTTTCTTCTCCTCTCCCAGCAACAAAAGTCTTTTGCTTCTATTCATCCCTCAAAAGAAGTGATCTTTTCCTGAGAACTAGAAAGGAAAGATTTTCCTGCCCCTCCACAATACATTAAGCTTCTTCTTTATATTCAAGAAAGGTCCAGGGAAGTAAGTTTTCTTGCTGGCCTCTTCGTGGTTTCAATTACCATCTGCATGCCTGTCACTAGCCACCCCAATCCCCAACCCACAAGAGGGATGCTCCCTCCAGTCCCCTGCCCTGTCTCCAGTAGTCCTCATGGGCATGGCGTAGAGGCCCAAAGGGAAAGCTACAGAGAAATAGCATACTCCATTTGTGTCTGCCTCTCCCAGTTAGTCTACACCAGTGGTGACCTAGAACTTTTGGATGATGGAAATATTCTATATCCGTATTGTCCAACATAGTAGCCACTAATTTTTAATTTTAATTAGTTTGAATTCATTTAAAATTTGAATTAAATAGCTCCATGTAACTAGTAACTACCATATTAGACAGAGCAATTCTATGTATCCATTTAGACCATACTTAATCTTTATGAATCCATTAACATTGGAGGTGCTTTCTTCTTACCTGCTTCAATGTTGCATCCTCTTCCTGCTGCGCTTTGCTGAAGTGAGATCATGTGTCCCGTCTCTCCAGAGGGGCTGGTCACTCCGTGGAATTCACATCACTTGGTTGACTTGCTATCTCACCTCTCCTGTAACCTCAAGAATAGTTATGATTTCGTGGATTACTTGGCTTTTTCTTCTTGAGGTGGAGAAGAAGTAACGTTGTGCTGGGGCTTTCTACATCTTAAAAAAAGGAGGAAACACGTACTGATTTCTAAAGAGTAAAGTTAATTAATGATGGCCTATCAAATATCATTTTGTACTCCATTTTTAAAGGCTCAGTTGCATTATCCCAAATTTAAGGAGCAAAAATAGGCTGGGAATATAAGAAGTGGGGATTAGTGCACAAATATTTCTGTGACATTAGGCATGAGCTGGCATTTGGTGACATTTGGATTTCAGCTTCCACCTTCATTAAAAAAGGGAATTAAAGTATATGATGACTAAGATTACTTTTGAGCTCTGAAACTAACATTATTTGTCAGTTAATGATGTATTTTTGCCATCTTTATTTTTCTAAGTGAAAGCTTTTTAAATAAGTTTGGAAAACATTTGTAGTAGCTGCTCACAGAGTTGACACATTTCTCTTGAGAGTAAAAGAGTACCTTTGTAGCAGTCATTTATTGTGTGTTAGATGCTTGTCTTGATGAAATCCGCGATGACAAAGCAGTTGGCCCCAGGGCAGTCCTTTGATATTTTGCTATAGTTGTTCTGAGTCTGTCACTCTTAGAGAAAGCTGAAAAACATGACAAAGAATAAATTTGGCACAGCAGAGTCATTTGGCCAGCTCAAAAGAGTTTCACAGCCCTTCGGGTCTGACATCTCATTAATATTTAATTGATTGAGAACCTTCAGTATATTGCATGCACTTCAGAGGGAAGAAGTAGTTTCTCAGCAGGTAAAAGGATAACTAGAATCAGTTGCTTAGAAATTGAGGAAATGTCACATACACACAGCTGTGTCATGTGTCAGTGAAGTTCTGTAGGTAAAGCTGTACACATTAAAGAATACACACGAAGACACTCTACAAATACAATCTTCTGTACAGATCTATTCTAAATAAAAATAATTCATGAGTTTTTATTTTACTTATCAGGTACATTCTCTGTGCCATCTCCTAGATACCAGAGAAATAAAGATGAATGAAAATACTCATAATCAAAGATGTTATACTATAGTGGAAGAAACAAATACCATTACAAAAAATATGATAACTGTTATTATAACCAGAAAGGGGGCCCAATCCAGACCCC